TACAAATACAGGCCATTTACCATTTTTACCATCAGGTTATTACTATGGCAGAAGTAGACATCCACAAATGATTTTAATGTGTATTCACCACTCATGTGTGTGCATAACCAGCTTTGTAAATAGTGTAAAGTACACTGACGGTCTACTCTTTGGTATCTGTCTCGTAGCTGTTGCCAGTGGCCACTTTCTACCAGCTCCGAGGTCTGCAAAGACGCTGTGAAATGTCACTGTCGCAAAGCCTTACTCTGGACAATGCTGTCAGCATCTACAAGGCTGCTAAGGTAAAAACACACAAGCTGACATGTAAGACAGTTAGATATCTGGGACACAGCTTTTATTCAAACCATAGCATATGAAAGCACTGCCATGAAAAGCAGCAGTAGTAGTAGCCACGGCAAATCTAAATATCCCAAAAAAGATGAAATTGAAGGGGAGACTGATCAAACACAACTCAGGTAAAGTTTTGGATTGTTACCTTTTGATGGGCCGTTACAGAACCTGATGATAGGACTCGTATAAACTCCCCCACAAACGGTTTCCAAAATGTTTCTCTCGCTTTATGACTTTAGAGTACAGATAAAATAAAGAATAGGCAAAATTTGTGATTTCTCATATTACATTTGATCGATTGGACCATGTTCTATTTAGACCTTCATGCTTCAGGCTGTGAAACTAAAGACTCGAGCCTTATTTTCTTTTAGGTGTAAAAATTATTGTATTTTTTAAGGGTGACTCGAATTTCAAGATCATAATAGAAGGAACAACTGTTTGCATAAATGCTGCTGCAAAGAAAATCTCCAACATCATATATAAAATGGATTATCGCAGAGACACTGACTCAGCTTCTGCACTTGCAGCACCATGGAGGAGCTGAACTCTGCAGGTTTTGTGAAGGATTCTTCCTGCAGAACATGGATCAGCTCCTGGACAGGGAGGACTTCCACAGCCTGCTGCTAGGAGGTCTCAGTCAAGAGCTGCTATACCCAGGCCTGGGCACCCGG